ATTATAATTATAATAATAATAATTATTATTATTATTATCATTATTATCATCATTATTATTATTACTATTTCATTGTTATTAATAAATATTACTATCGTTACTATCGTTACTATCGTTGCTACCGTTACCACCATCATTACCACCACCACCATCACTATAATGATGATGATGATGATGATGATGATGATACTATTATTATTGTGCGTGCACTTGTGTACCTACTGTGTATTAAATGTGTCTCAAGATTATAGCGTGCGCCTATGGTGGTGTTCTGCAATAAAGCAACTGATAAAGTATCCTTACTTGGCTGGCCACTATGTGCAGGGGCGTGTTCCTTTGATGATCCCTGAGATTTGCTTCGATCCCTCTCTCCAGCATCATCTGCACTACCTCAATGTTGTGGCTCGCAGCCGCCAGGTGGAGCAATGGATAGCCCAGGGTCTCCTGACCTTTGACCTCGGCGCCACGTCTGATCAGAAGCGAGGCTACTTCAAAATGGCCGGCTGTCACGGCGGAAACAAGAGGTGTGTATCTGTCCAGATTGATTGCCTTAACAGAACCACCTGCGTGGATGATATTATCAATAATATTGACGAAACCGTAGGCAGCAGCGAGGTGGAGGGGCGTGTCACCTTCTTCATTAACCGGGTGTTGACCTATGTAGGCGCGGCCAGTCGAGAACAGTATCCTAAAAGCTTTCAGATTTTTCAGAATGACGGCTGCAGCGAGAGGTGTTTTCCCGTGTACCATGAAGTTGACATTGGCACCACTTTGCACGAGGTCTTTCAGCTTCTTGTGCTCTCTGTCCCTAATGTACGCATGCACCATGCAGCTTCTTGAAAGCGGCAGCTCTTCCTCAAGACCAAGCATAAGGTAGCTCTTTAAATATTTCCCAATAGGCAGTGAGTCAATCTTACTTAGGGTGTTTCTTACTCCTAACATTTTTCGAATTTTCACTCGTGCCTGGAACTCGAGGGAAACAGGACTTTCTAGTGAGCACATCCAGTCCGTAGCTTCCCTCTCGACTGCCATGTATTTATCAACAAAGTGTTGGTTTGGACTGTCTTGCGGTAAATCAAGCTCGGAAGGAGTACAACAAAAGTGTGGGTAGGTTGCTTCCCTCAAAACTTTCAGCAGCAAATATCGCTCTCGGAGTTCATCGTGCTCATCTGAGAACGGTGCTTTCTCTATCAACCACGCCAGAGCAGACATCTTTATAAACGAATAGTCATGAACACAATCAAGAAAACTTTCATTATGAACTTTTGCACCGTAGTACACAAGGAATCTGGCAATCTCGAAAACTGGCTCTTTGTCATCGAGAGCTTTCTTTAAAGGTGTTTGGCAGTTTTCGTCATGGGTTTCCAAATTGCATCCGCTTTCTGCTAGTAAACAAAGCCCAAAGACATCTCTGTTTTCCACAACATGGTGCAAAGCCGTGTATTCGTCCAAGTCTTCATCGTCCAAGCGACAGCCAGCGTTGATCAACATCTGGCAGATCTCTAACACATCTGAGATTTTTTTGTCTATCGGCTCACTGCTGTTGCGTAAAAGTGAGAGAGCTTTCATCAGTGGCGTGATTCTAGGTTCTTTTTCTACGATGTTCACGTCACAGCCGCTCTCAGTGAGCACCCGCACACAGTTAACGCTGCCGAAAGAGCATGCAAGATAAAGCGGAGTTATTCCATAAACATCCCGGGTGTCTATGTTGGCACCATGACGGATCAGCACTTGTGCAGTCTCATGGCAATCATCATAAGAGCATGCAGCCAGAGGGGTGTCTCCCTCGGGGATCTGTAGGTTGATGTCTGCGCCCAAGGACAAAAGCTCTGAAATAGAAAGAAAATAAGTTATAAAATGCGTACTTCATATTATTCTAACAGAGGTGTTTTAACCC